AAAGTGCACCGTCAGCAATCGACAAAAAACGTGGGAGAATATGTGAAGTGAGGTTTCTTGATGCGTGAGTAGATGCCATGGCGTTTAATTGTACTTAAAAGGAATGGGAGGCTTGGAACGATAGTAGATGATGAAACAGGCACTCGCTCCGTTTAGTGTTCAGTCTTCGACAAATGTATGCAGAACACCACTCACGCCACCTGGACGAACAGCGAGGCGTGGAGTTGCAAGTCTCGATTTCTTTGTTCTTCGCACGCATGCAGGAGGTCCGTGAGCTCCTTATGGAAAACCGAAGATATGAAAAATTCTCGAACTCGGGATGTCTTCAATAATACGGAAAGGCGGGCTAGTTGGTTGGCCTCCCACAACGCGTAGACACAAACGAAAGGTCCACAAGGACCAGTGCATACTATCAACAGACAATCATTCCGTAAGAGCAAAGGTCAGTTGATGGTCTTTCTTGTCTTGGTGTCGTGTCTTCTTACCTTCTTCTTGTCCTTTTGACGAGTACGCTTCGGCAAGCTGCCTTGCTGCCTCAAAGAACGCAAGATCGCTTTTCGAAACATCAGCTTCCGCATAGGCGTGCGCTGGGGGGGAGGAATTTGTCGCAGCACTTCCCCACCCTATTATGTTAATGTATTTAGGCTGACTGTGCGTCCCCCCCCCCTTCTTGTCCTCTGCACCTCCGGGCGCACGCCTATAGGCTTCAGTGACTCATCGAGTGCAAGAATTTTTTACCCCTTCGAGCTTCCGTCTGCCCCAAGGCATTCTGCCTTATATAGTGAGGACTGCTGTTAAAATGAGGTGAAGTTGTGAGCATAAAAAAGTATCATTCAAGCATCATGTTGATATTTCGGGCGGTTTCTCGATACCGCAAACAAGACATTTGTGTGAGGATGATCACGAAGCCTCGTGTGTAAACCGCCAAGACTAGTCAGCGGACAATTTGAGGTTGTCAGTACTGTTCTCGCACGTAGGCGTTCAGGCATCAACATCGTGAATGTCCTTCGTGGTATTGGGGTTGTGTTTTCGTTGCCTTCGTTGTTTGCTGTTGTTTCAAGTTCCCAAGTACCGCTGGTAGGTTGTACTTCCGTGCTACGTACTCGAGTTCAGAATTAAAGTCTTTTTAACGCCTCCGAAGACTTAATTAGTAATGGCTCGCGCTCGGCTCTCTTAAAGGGACCGACAACCGATTCTAACGTCACCTGTTTTTCTTTAGCCCAACTGAAACTTCACAAGTCAGAATGTCTAACCTTGGAATGTCAACGCGGAAAACGCCGTGAAACATTTGTAAGGACTTTCGCTATCTGCGGCGACCGTAAAGTCTTACCCGAAACTCGTGCTGCAAACAGTAGGAAGTGGGCCAACTGTCTATTTTCGTGCGCTGTGGCTTTCTACGCATGCGTGCACGCCGCCCGCATGCTCTTCAGGGTAAGCCACGTTCTTCTGACTGCCGCAAAGGCGCCGCCACTTCTCAGCGCCAACGCCTTTTACCTTGTAAGGAGCACATAATAGAGAAGGAATAGATAACAATACGCGTTCTTTGTTTTTTAGCGTAATTACGTTGCGTATAAAAGCATCAGACGCCGCGAATGGAATCACCCTATAGCACAGCATCGAAACTATTCCACTAGATTGCGCGACATGCCGGTGTTTTGTGACTTTTAAACGCAATTTCAAATATGCCAGTCACTCAAAAAGTGCATGGGAAGTTTAGATGTGTCGATACAAAACACGGCTCTTTCTTTTTTTCATTTCCACCAGAACTTGATCACATGTTCTGGTAAGTTGCCGGTCACTTGAAAGACGCTAGTTATAGCACGAGAACAAAACGACGACACGGAGACAAGAAGGACACGAAGGACACCTTCTTGTCTCTGTGTCGTCGTTTTGTTCTCGCGCTATAACTATCGTCATGCCATACCAACTAGCCCAAGCTGCCACACTTCTAGCTCCCTCGAAAGCTCTTGGGCTGATTCCTACTCAACCACACAGAGAACAACGTAAAACGGGTGTTCTTTGCTTGTTCGTTTTTTTTTTGTACTGTGAACTGATCGTGAACAATTTCCTGGCAGACCGTAGCCACGATTGAAGCGATGTTATGTTGCCATGGCCTCCTGGAAAGGCACTGATCTGAGGTATATTTCAGTGATTTGGGTGAACAGCACGCGCAATACTTCGAATCACGCTGAAGCTCTGATGTGTCGGGAGTGGCTGCTTCGGTTTCCGAAGACATGCGGCAGTGATGCAATGCGGATTGTGCCGTGCACTGTTAGAGGCCACTGCTGTAACATATGATTCACACTCTGTGAGGTGCTCATTTTCATCTTGACATGGCCATGTATCTCATAGAGTTCATTTAGCACTCTCTTTTTTGGTCGATAGACCACTTGCAGTTCGCTGTTTATTTAATAAAGTTAATATTGTGGTATTTAGAGGCTACGAACTGTCTAGAAGGAAATGTCGTTCACTGGTCAAGTAACCTTAGTGCATCAACATCCGCAGACATCCAGTCAGGTTGGCTGCTGACGCTCCATTGAAAACCGCAGAAAGAACTCAAAGGTTGTAGGACCACAAGCTCCATTTAGACAACCCGTAGACCTAGACACGTCTTTAGACTTCGTATGGAGCGGGCAAATGACTTTTGTAACGGCCGTGATTGTGTGATGCCACTCAATTTGTTTTAACGAGACATCCATCGCGTTGCGTGAGGAGCAGGTGGTTTGGACATCCATTCACTGTATTGCTTTGACGATAGTAGCACTTGGTAGCAGCAACCTCATTGAAAGCGAATTCGGAAAGTCTAGATTGTCTTCAGACTTCCAAGCTGGCTGCTATGTTTTATCGTGCAACTTGATCTTCAAGTCCTATTAATGAAGGCATTCTGAAAACAAAATAGATTCCATTCGACCGGTTTTTATCCCAACTGTTCTCTGTAAACTTTCAGACTGGTAGCTCTGGAAGAGCCTACAAACTCAGTTCGACGTAAACTACAGATCCATGAGCCACATCTATCTGTATAGGCTGTCATAGACTCTCACTAGACTGTCAAAGTCGAGTAAATGTAGCCTACATATTGAGAACACCAACCACCGGGAATCGTACGACCGAGTCCAAGCAGGGAAGCACGACCTAAGTTTTGTGTCAAGTGTTCCAAGCGAACCATTTGCACCCTCCTTACAAATGCGAAGCGATGCTTACGGGGAAGCTGTGTTGGGGTTGGAAAACCTTGTATGGGTGATTAGGATACTATTTATGCTCCTGGTTTTAGGAAAAGAATTATACCTCGAATTCGCTCACGATTTCTGACCAGCCTCCCAGTGACGGTGAACTCACACTGCTGTAAGTTGAAGCGAGTTGCAACACTGATACTGGTACGCCAGGCTGCGTGCGCATCAGCAGGCTTCAGAAAGAGCACATGCACGGACTTGCTCCTTATTGACGTGAGTACTTCGTTACGATCAACATGATTATCAAAGAGCCGCATTGTTCAGCCCTTACGCGCGCAGTTGGAAAACGTTCTGGCAAACGGCACAGAGCCCTTCAAATTATTGTCGTAGAGCACGTGAGTTCACGAAGTGTTGCGTTTTTGTTATTCGGAAACTGATACCGAGAAAGTTCGTGGTCTATGAGACAAGTGGGTGTATTTTCCCCCTTTCTTTTTCCCCTCTCTCTTCAACGAGCGGCTCGACGCGTTGAACAGCAGTGCGTACCGAGTCGAACACAACGTATGCATAAAGGCAAAAATTAAGTGCTAGCGATTTAACATCAGCCCCCCGTAAGGGACTGCTTTGAACAGACGGTGGTCCCTAAATATAAGACTAGCGGAATGCTTTCGTTCAGCCTCGACAATTCCGTGCACCATTGTACAAGCTGAAGGCCTGGCTAAGTAAGTCAGTATCTATACCGGAGCATATCGAAGGCCCATTCACATCTATGAAGCGAAGTGCTCCATCGCGGCTCCTAAACGACGTCCCCTTAAATGGTGCTCTTACGTGGCTTATTTGATAACTAGCTATAGGATCGTTAAATGACTGAGCGGCACGCTTTAACGAGCTGGAAGTAGAACGCATAAAGGAATGCTTGACAAAAGTGTGCACAGCATTCGGGGTGCCCATGTCTGTTGCATTAGTTCCGTTCAATAGCGCCAGTGCGGTTTTCATTACACACGTTTGTCCTGGGGGAAGGGAAGTGTGTAGCACAAAAAAGGAAGATAGGGCTGAGAAACTGATCATGTAACGGCGTCAACAGAGCTTAGCTACTTTTTCTAAAATGCACATGAGTAGTAATAGTAAGTGTTGGGGTTTCACGTTGCAAAGCCACGACATGATTATAAAGGCCACCGTGGTGGAGGCCTTAACGTGCATCTAAATTGAAATTAAATGGGCTAATCGCACTTCATCTCTATCGAATATGCCACCGCCACAGCCTGAGTTTGATCCCGCATACTTCGGATCAGCAGTCGAGCACCTTGAGCACTATACCAGCGCGGCGGGTAACTTGCACATGAAAACAGTGACCGAAAAGTAAAAAAAAAAACAAATGCAGCACTTCTTTCATGGCCCTACCTTCAGCTTTCATGTACAACATAGCACGGAATCGGTGAGGTGACAGCATGTACTGATACTCTACGTAACGATCGACCGCCGCTCAGAGCATGTAGTCGGTGGTGTTGGCTGAGGCGGAGGCAGCGGCGATGTCGCCACGATGTGTCATCGGTGCCGGCCTGCGGGCGTGGTGCACGGCAGCTTCTTGTTTGGACGGCGCCGACCTGTGCAATGACTGGGGCACGCCACCAACGCCCTTCCTCCGACTTCGTGCACAAGCGTGGCAGCTGCTGTGGTGGTGCTTCAGCGTGGCGTCTGAATCAGTCGACGTGGTCGTGTCAGCCCTGGTTCGAGCGGCGATCTGTTGTGCGCGCTCTTTCCGCAGCTGACGACGCGTCTTTCTCGCCTTCTGAGCCGCCCCGCCGTGGCACATCGTTTCGACAGGCGCCATCGTCACCGGGAAATATCTCGTACTCTTTGGTGACGAACTTCGAGGTCCAAGTCGAGGATGCCTCCTCCTCCACCTCTGGCACCCCTACCACCGTAGCACTCGGCCTCGAAGACTGGTTGAAGCCTGCTACTACTAGACTTGGCGCACTGCCTCTGAGGACTGTAGAAGGAGCACAGCTGAGCGGGCTCGTGGGCTTGATAGGCGGAAGGGTCCTGTTGCTGGAGAATGCTATCGAACCACCTACGAGGCTTGTCTTCGCTCAACGAGGGCCTGGAAGACCGGGATGACCCCCCGCAGGGCGACGCCAGTGAGGGACTGCCTCCTGTTTCGTGCTGGAACCTCACGGGAGACGCCACCGGCGAGCGGTCGCTATAGGTCACGATAGGAATCGGACTGGAACTGGTGCTGTGCAGCGCCAGCGGGCTCTCCGGGATGCTCTGGGTCGGGAAACAGGAGGTGCTGTGTTCCTGGCGCCTGTACAGGTCGCTAATCTGACCCGCCGTTCGAGACGTCACGATCGGAATGACGGCCGGTGTCACCGCGTGCGGTACTGGGTTCGAGCTGCATCGGGGTCTGAAGGCTGCACTGTGTCTGACGGGGGAACAGCTGGGCGACCGGGTGCTGCTCCGAACGGCCACCGCCGCCGGAGTCTGCGGTGACTCGTTGATGGTGCACGAGAAGCGGTAAGTTCTGACGGGACTCAACACGGCAGGCAGGGGTGCGCCGGCCTGCAGTTTCCGGCGCACCGGACTGGCCGACGAACATCTCTTGTGCTCCGGGGAGAGGACCCGACCCGGGGGTCCGCTCGGTGGGTGTTGTTGTTGTTCAGGGTCATGCTTTGAGAGCGCACGTGGGGAGACGACGAAGTTACCAACGTCAGCGGTGACGGACTTCTGGCCACAGATTCGTAGATGTGCTGCTGTATGACGGGCGACTCCGGCGCTCCGCCCGCGCATGACGGCGGCGGAGTCCGGCTGCAGAGGGCTTCCACAGAAGACGTCGGGCTCGGGCTCGCCTCGCGGCGGTCTTCCGAGTTGGAGGACAGCGTGGAAGGGTCGTACGAGGTGTCGCTGCTGTCGTGTCGCTGCATCCAGTCCAGGACGCGCCGTCGCCTGGACCACGATCCCAGCAGGTCCTGGTCGCGGCGCCTCTTCTGGCGGATGATGCTCTCGCACTCCCAGCGCACGATCTCGAGCTCGACGCGCAGCAGCGCCATTTCATGTGCCAGACCGTCGTCCAGGACAGCGTCCGAACCACCTCTGTTCGTACGTACAGGACCACCTCCGGTCGCACCTCCAGGAGAGACGGCACCGCTCGCCCGGTAGATGCCGTTGCACACGTTACCCCCGCACAGACGGTGAGACGGAGGTGGCGGTGCCTGGGGAGCGGCGACAGCTCCGGCGAAGCTCTCTTCGCTCGTCTCGGCGGTGATGGTACGGCCCAGACCGGAGTCCGTGTCCGACACCTGCGAGTCAGCAATGATGACTACCCTTTAGAAGCCTGTACTCTAACAACCTTAAAAACAGTAGGGATTTCGTGGGTGTCATATATAGGTTGTTCAACAACAAAGTGTGATCTTAATCGCTCTATCGCACAGGAGTAACAACCGGTTGTAGGCCTGACTACATCGTCTCCCACTTCAATTTTTCCTAGATTTGATGATCTGTCATTAGTTTGCACCTTTAGCATGGCATAACTGGTGAGCAAATAAAATGCTTTTGTGCCAGTCTAGCTTCGGGCGAGCACGAAGTTTACAGGTTGACTTGAGTCAATATTTTTAACCCAGACGTCTGTGCACAGCATTACAAGGTAACACCTGAAAGCCATTATGACGTGCGACTAGGCGAAACGTTCTCAATTTGACCGCGCTAAAAACAACGGCATAAAACGTACGTTAAGAATATTCCGAGAAATGTATTGCTCGAGGTTGGTGTCATCAGACACGACGTAGCTAAATTAAGCGTCTTGTGTCTGGTGTCTCTCGGAAACCATGTAACCAGACTTACTGCAGTGTACGGAAGGCTGAAGATCATGTCAGCCTAGTAGTGTCGAGGGTCACGCGCGTGCTCCCAGTAGGGGAAAGAGTAGTACCTCGCACGAGAGCTGTAATGTGGGTTTGGTCATAATCATCAGCCAAAATCAGCGGTAATTTTTGTTCATGTTTCCTTGAGTGTCCTCTTTCACACTAGCTTTCTTTGCAAAATGTAGCACATACATACTATACTGGAACGAAAGCGCTCTCAAGTGAACGCTGCCGAACTTTGTATGGACTGAATGGTCAACTAGTATTGCATCAAGATAACACAATCTTACGAGAAGAGTTACATGTTGAATTCTTAATAACTGCATTATTTTACACTTTCAAGCGCAGCTGATTTTGCATTTACTATGTTTATTTTAATTTACGTGTTTGTATTTTCTCACGTCAAACTCTACAAGGGAGGGGAGGCCAACGTCAGGCTATGCAGCTTCTAGCCGCGGCTTCCTCCCTTTGTACGAAAGGGAAATAATTCTCTCGTCTTCTTAATGTCGACTCCCCTACTAACGAAGTTATCTTCACGTCATTGGTCGTAAGTACGTGTACAATACATCAACAAACAGCTTTTCTGTCACGATAAATATCTCTGCTCTCTTTCTCTCCTCTTTATATCTCCCTCTCTGCCAACTCGCGGCACTTAATTTCGAAGCACGGGAAGGCTCACCTGGCATGGCGGAAACGACTTCCTGTTGTCTGTGCTCGTCGTACTGTGAAGAAAATGGAAACAAAGGGTTGAGATATACGAGTGACGAACGTCGCGAACACATTTCACTGTGGCTCTAGAAGTATGAGCTGCGCTCCAATGTAATCTAATGCAATGCAATGGCCCGGAGGGCTGCCTTTTTATATCGCTTGGCTTGAAATGACGCCGTGGAAGGTTTTGACAATTTAGCGGAACTTGACAGAGTGCTGAATAGCACCCCCTGGAGCAGCTGCCAAGTTTGTTGCTACCGTATGGACACTGTAGTGCTGGAGTTTTCAATTCTAGTTCCAAATAGAAGCTTTATTGATGAGTTTCTTCGTGTTTGACTGAAAATGTCGACTGTTTAGCGGAATACGTCCCCATAAGACATTACAAAGCGCTGCAGCCGATGTAAAGTTACCCCACCTAAAATTTTTCGTTATGTAACATTCTGTGAAAAAAAAAAAACTCCCGAGTATGATCCGCCAGTCGCGATAACCCTCGGATTTTGTTTCCGGTCTCCAGTTCACGTCCAGTTTCCCCCTTCAGTCGATGCTTCACTACGTCCTTGTGGACTGCACTTCCCGTTTACATAAGGAAGTTTTCTCAGAATGATTTGGTCAAACCATGCCGCCATTGAGAAATTCGACAAGGGGGCGGAATTGGACCGTGACCAGGAGAGCCCCCGTAACTGTCGACATGGAGCGCACTGTGCGGCACTGTTTTATAAATTCCAGAGAAGAGTCCACCAAAACACGTCCTCTCGAAAGCATCAAACGACTTTTGATGCACGTTAAGAAAATAAAGTGAGTGACAACCAGCCATTTCAAGCATGAAGCCACAAGGAAATCCATATGTATTTCTCTTAAGATAGCTTCTTAGTTGCCGAAAAAATTTGTCCTGGTCCGGAGATCGAATCCGAGACCAACGCCTCTCTGGTGTGGTCGTCCTACCAATTTAGCTTACCAGGAAGCTAGCAATTGGCACCTCGAGGACGCATTGATCCACAACTCGAAGCACATGGGCACCTATTATTACAAATTAGTTCTGTGCAGTCCCGCAAGGTGGCTGAATGGTTAAGAGAAGAGAATTGACCAGTGCAAATATTCTAGTGTGTTCCTTGATATTTTTTCCCCTTTTACCTAAGTAGCGACAACGGCCTCCTCTTCCAACCCTCTCTCACGCGCAGCCAGCGCCTGCCGGCATGTTCTTCCTAACGTAAAGGATTTACAAATCCAAGGAAGTTTAAGTATATTATTCACGAACCTTTTAGCGGACAGCATACCAACGCGACACGCATCTCCATTCATTAGTGAGCGGGGCATGCGCCCTTCATCTTTTCACCAGACGCTGAAAAATTGTTTGGAAGTACATGGCTATCACAAACGAGTGTCACCCTATTAGATTCGACAGTGGCTCTTCAATGGTACACGCTAGAGAAGAGATAAAAATATAAGAACTTTGGCTATGAACTGCGACTGTGTGCCACCTGTGTAAGCGTGCCAGGTGCCTCTCGATGCCGCTGGGAGGGAAGGAGAGCCTGTGAACGGAGCCCGGTTGACTGCTGGGACCCGGCCCCTGGCTCGTGGGTTGTTCCAACTGGGGGCGCTCCGGGTGGTGGGCCCTGGACTGGAAGTCTCCTCCCAGCTGGGGACCCTGGTGCGGCTGCTGATTGTACGAGGCGCCGTGGCTGGGACGGAAGCTTAGGGTAGACTCGCGCGAACTGCGTTCCTGCGGGATTGGCAGGCAGACAGAGCGAAAATGTCAGTGTGGTGTTATCGGCCGATTGATCTCTTTGATGGTCAGCAGCCTATGGCGTAGGTGAGTGAACAAGTACTGTTGTTTGCACGAGTTGGTGTATAATATTCTTGTGCGTACTTAGCGCAGCTCGTTATGTACATGAAGTATAGAAACATAAACAAAGAGGATTTCATTCCTTGCTTGTGTCATTTTCTGCTGTCCTCATACTGAGTTGCGCTGAAGCTATACAAGAAGCATGAGTAAAGTTGGGACAAGATATACAGGGTGAAGGAGGGAAGGGCGTCATTTAAGGACAGATAGAGAAATAAATGTCAGCCTAATGTGATTGACCAATTTTTTTTGAACGTTGATAAAAATTGGCATTGCGGGAGGGAAAGAGGGGCATAGGCAGTACGGTCCAGCAGAGAGTGGGGAAAAAACTTGATAAAATGACATTGTATATAATACATAGTTATTACGATAACATGCACGATGCAGCACTGTACAGACATTATTACTAAGAGGAAAGAGCGGAATCATACAGGTAATGCGTGCGTATCAAATTACTTCTATACTGTACTGATAACCAGAGTGATTGACTGTAAGATGATTGGTACTACATCGACTGTTCACTTCATTGGTTAATTTTTGGGCTGGTGATTCATGAGTGGGCTTACTGAGTGAGGTATCGTACCCCTTCGAGCTTTATCAGTTCACTGTATGATTGACTGAGTTATGATCAGTTTGTTATTAAATTCCATCATTGATTTACGTACTGATATCCTAGTTATGGATATATTAGCTCGTTGGTTACCGAACTGAAAATCATTATGTGTTAATTGATTCATTTATTACCTGTTTACTTCATTGGCTGACTGACAGAATCATACAGTGACAAACCATACAATGGACTAATCACTGAAACTCATGGTACTGTTATCCAACCGGCACTGATATCCATAGGATGCAATTTTAATTTTACTTTTTGTGCGAGATAGACTTTCCCTTAGGGCATAATATTTCGTGTGTGTGTGTGTGTGTGTGTGTGTGTGTGTGTGTGTGTGTGTGTGTGTGTGTGTGTGTGTGTGTGTGTGTGTGTGTGTGTGTGTGTGTGTGTGTGTGTGTGTGTGTCCAGTGATCATAGCTGGTCCTTTCATTATATCGAAGGCCGGCTTGCAGTAGTAGACGGGAACGTTCTGGTTGTTATCCCTAGCATATGCATATAAGATGATATGCATCAGCTTGTATCACAGAAACAACGCAGTTTGACACGTTGCACACAGTGTTGAATATGAAAGTTTGGAAAGCTTGTCCAAAGGCGTCTAAATATTCACCAAAATTCGCCAAAATATTCAGTTCCTACAGAATGACCCTAAGCAAGCCATGAACTAACCCATGGATCAAAGGCTCATGGTCTAGTGGTGGGGCAGACCCGACGCCTGTGGCTCGGATGTGGCGGAGGTGGCTTGAGTGCAGACAAGGTAAGTCCATGGCATGTGCATAATTGTCATATTGTAGATTATGGCTTCACAAGGCTACTGTAATGTACCATGAGGGCCGTGGTATTGTTGCGGCTGTTCTGCTGCCTCAAAAAGGGAGGAGCGTGACCCCAACACCACGCCTCCATAACGCGACCTCCAATCGTCCGGTTCAAGCACCAGGGAAGTCTGACTTACACGAACGTCTGTACGTCAGAACATTGCCTCGCCCCAGGGCAAACGTTAGTATTTTCAGAAACATTCTGGAGTTGGACGCGTCATAACATGTGGGTGGGTTGCCGAATGTGCTTGAACAAGGCTCGGAAAAGGCCACACTGGGGCACCCACTGAACGTGTATTCCTATTTTAGAATGGTGAAGATGTACTTACCTGTTTACTATTACAAATGTTATCTCTACAGTGACAAAGTGCCTTCTCGTGACCAATGAACATCTGTGAGAAGTGATTACAGGTTTACTTATCTCTACAAACAGGCGGGAGACATTCTCTCTGTTTTACATAGAATGTAGCTTAGTTTCAATCGAACAACAGAGGATGTATAGCTAGAAAAATGATAATTGGGCGAGTTGATAAAGAGTCATCTCGGACAAAAGCTCACAGAGTAAAAGGGAACAGAAGAACGCATAAACAATTGTGGATGTTCTGACTCACCTAAGCCGAAGAGCAACTCCTTGTTCTTTCTGCGCCCTTATACCAAGACGAAGACAATTCGTAGCTTGCTATGTAAGTACAGTTCTCGCTGGATTCGAAAGTGACATCAATTCATCATTCTTTAGAATAACAACCGTTATGAGCAATTTCTCGATATAACTACGTCATGTCGCGAAGAGTCTGGTCTCTGGAGATAATGTTGGCACAGATATTCGCAATCCAACCAAAGTTCCCGGATATGACCCGAATTAAAGACGGTGGCCACGAAATTATGTGAGTGAATTAGCCCTAAATTGACCCTTTTCAATCCAGGAGGGCTGTACATATCTACCAGGGATACTTAGAACCGTGACATGCACGGCCTCCGAGATCACATCACACGCGCGGCGTCGCCAGATCTCGCAGGTCTTGCACCACGGCCGTGCCACCATTCCCGGCCTACAGCCCACTCGCTTTTACATATGCCGAGAGAATTACCAAGGCGAGTACGGGGCTGCCACGCCTCGTCGATATAGCTGGCCTCTTGGGAAAACTTATTTCGACGACATTTGTATGCACTGTACGTGAATGCCGAGAAACGAAGTGCTCGCGCGTGGAGGGCCTATGGACCAGATAGACGGCGACGACCCCCCGCGAAGATACTGTTCCATTACGCAATCTATTGGCCTCCTCCAGCGAGTCTCCAGAGTAAGCCACTCTTTCTTGTGCTATAAACGAAAGATCTGCAGTTGAAGGCTAGGTTCTCGGCGGTATATCTATAGACAGGGAAACGTGACCAGAAACGTAATGTCCACTTGGCGTGCTCGCTGGGCCCTCTTCCTCATGGTGTATATCAATTTTATAACCCCGGCTCTCTTTTATTTTCTGTATCTCTGTCCACTTGCCGAGTCGATCGCTTCTGTTCCCTTATATACCGCGCAGTCGCGATCGAATCTTCACTGTATATAAATGTACGTGCGTGGGCAAGAAATAGTATCGAGCGCTTGGAACGGACAGAACGCGGCCGGCCCGCGAACGAATGAAAGTTCGAGATCTAGTGGTTCCTACCCTATTCTCGCTGTTCATCAAATGAGGATTGTAAGCTCGTTTCGAATTCACAAGCTGATTAGTTTTGGGGAAGGGGGTACGTTATGCTGACGTCAGTTGCCTCTCCTGTTCCACCTTGTCTGACGTCCAAGTGCTTCGATTAGGGGTGAGCTAAAGGAGGAAACATATCATGGCTGCGCTTGGAACGACTAATGAGGGGCCGTTTAATGACCTGAATATGTTCTATCGTGTTCTGCGGAGTACCGCGTTCCTGTTAGAATAGTTCGGAAGATGTGTTCGATCAAGGTCGGAGTGCACGGGTGTGGTGGGGGAGGGGGTGAACAAACTTGGTTTCCCTAATCAAAGACGGGGAAAACCTTTACTGGGAGAAAGTGGGCACAGAGCTGCCGATTCACTTATTCTCTTAGTGGCTGATCAATCGCCCTGCCGACTGAATGGTAGATTTCATCCGACTTTTGTTAAAGGCCAATGGCTGCCTTATTTGGCGGGCTTATGTTTGGTGTCGCCAGTGTAAGTAAGTAAACGAGTGGTAATGCATTTCTGTATCTGTCCCAATCAATGCCGATAGGAATAGAGCCGAACACGCCTCATCATGTTCAGTACAACGGTGGTTATAAAAAAAGTGTCAAGAGAACATTACCTCAGTGTGTCAGCTTCCATAATCGGTCACCTACCCTGATACCGTTCTCATTTTTCTAGTGTCTAAGAAACGCACCAGAAATTCGCATTGAGCCCTGGAAAAAATCTACCTTATCACAGTGCCACTGCGCATCCACCCTACTCCTTGCGGTAATGTCGCGAAGCGCGTCTCGATCTCGAAGGCCTTGATTCTGGCAATACCAGTTCTCTCGTCCCCTACCAAAACCATACCACAAATGCAGAGAGTAAGTAGCACAAGAAAAGGAGAAAAGGCGCATTCTACGTGTCGAATAGCTCGATTTAGGGTTAGTAGGAATGCCACAACATATTCGAGTCACCGCAGATTTAAGTAGCTCGTGGCCTTTAGAATTTTCTCCAGTTCTCAGCCTCAGTGGTTTTAAACGCTGTAGTAGTTCCAACGACAACACTTTTTTCGGACCGTCTTCCCAACTATCCGCGTAAGATTGGCCGAGCAGACAAGTGCACAAATGATAGGAGTGCAGCCGCGCTTGGTAAGACTTAGAAGTCATCACGTGACCTAGCGAGTGTTCCTAGAAAATGCTGCTTTATTTTTATTACAAGTTACATACTTGATAGCGTAATACTCGCTCTCTGTTTTCCTTCATTGCTTTACGTTCTTCGCTGAAATGTGCCAGTTTGTCGTAAAAGCATTTGTGAAGTTATTAAATAAACCAATTAAGAACGCCCCGACTCGGGCGTCGCCTACAGTAGCGGCTGCTGGGATGTCCCTTGTGGACACGCTGGTGGCTTAAACTCCCCAGGACCTTCAATAAAGTTCTTGACTGAATTAAGACCGAAGGCAAACAATGAGGCATCTGCGTCCCATCGTTCTCTCCCTCTGGACACTCCTTTTCACTTCCGTCCCATAATTTTCAAGCATTTCCTATCTTTCATTGTGCCACTTCCGTTTCTTCAAGTGACCTGCTGGTGCACACTCACAGTTTCGACAATCTCTCGATGACCATTTCTCGTTCTGGTTCACTCACTTTCAGTTTGGATTTACACTTGCTGCCTGTCTGATCTCCCCATCTGCTTATAGCCAAAACAAGGAAGGCCTCCTCTCGAGATTAGAGGGATTCGGTCAGAAATTAATGACGTCACCATGTGCCGCTGCAGGAAGCGTGTGTGTGTGCA